ACTTGGAATGCTGACATCAACCTGAATCTCTAAAACTTCAATCACCTCCCCAAATGCCAGGGTGCTGACCGGGGTCCTAAGGTCCAAGTGCTGACCCTCCAACCAGGCAGCGTGAAGACTCAGGGAAGATGGAGGAGAAAACAATGGCTGAGGAGGGAGCCATGGGGAATGGCATGGGGATCCACATCAAGACCATCTACTCCCCCTCTGAAGAGCATGGTGTGAGCAGCAGAGACCACTGAAGCAGAATGATAACAGGGCACCTGGCCCAAAGAGCTGGAGCCCTGGTGACTCGCTCAGCCAGACTCACCCCAGTGGGAAGCAACAATTTCTGTTGGTCCATGCTGGGAGATTGGTGTTGAGTCGAGGCCACCTGAATACTGGCTAGAGACCAGCCCAGTGAGATCGGCCCGAGACCCCGAATAGAGAGAGGCAAGACTGCTGGGATCTGACAACATCTGGGACTGCTCCTGCTGCCTCCCTCACGAGAGTCAATTGCTTTTTTTCCCCTTTTTTAAATTTTTTTTTATTGGTTTTTAAGACGAACATAGACAAACAAAACATAAAAACATCAAGCCATCTTCCATATATATACATACAGTGTGCTGGTTGGTTTACAAATTGTTTTGTGCTTCCATTTCATAGTCTTCAATTACAATTACATTGTATATATTCTTATATTTTCAATCAAGTATTAAATACATTAATATCATTGTTAATCAATCATTTGACTATACTTTTATTCATTCATGTTTTACGAAATAATAATATTTTACTTAAATTGTTTTGTGACAGTTCATATTATCACCTCAAATCTATCCTACAATCATTTTGTAGATGTAATAAGAAAAGAATACATCTTTATATATTTATTATTTTCTAAGAATCTACATATTTCATTACCATGTTTTATTTTCTAACCATTGATAGAATAGATCCCAGATTTTATAAAATTGTTTATCATCTTGTTCTCTGATTTCAAATGTCAATCTACTCATTTCAGCACATTCCAATATTTTCTTAATGATTTCCTCCTGTGATGGTATTTTCTCATTTTTCCAATTTGTAGCAAATACAATCCTAGCCACTGTTAATACATTTACAATCAGGTATTTCAATTCTTTACGATATATTTCAGGTAAAATTCCCAAAACACCAAAAAAGCACTGGCTGATGCCACGGAAGCATATAAAAAGCAAGCCAATAAACATCGGTCTCTCCAACCCCCCTTCCCCTTTTTCAGGTGGGAGATCATGTTTATCTATCAACAAAATACATTGGGTTAACATTGCCTAGTAAAGAAGCTGGGACCAAAATTCCTAGGACCTTTCCCTATAGTGAATGTGATTAATCTGGTAACAATCCAACTTAGACTCCCCTGCATACTAGGAAAAATACATCCCATCTTCCACTGTAGTTTATTAAAACCAGATGTCAGTTCAAGATCGAGACCTTAGCCTCCCAAACCAATTGTAGTGCAAGGTGAAACTCATTATGAGGTGAAAATGATTTTAGATTCTAAACTACATAGAGGCACGTTGCAGTATTTAGTTCATTGGAAGGGGTACGCTTTGTCAGAAAATACATGGGTTAAGAGTTGGGATGTAAAAGTGGATGCCCTAGTGAAACAATTTCATGATAAGTTTTCTGACAAGCCAAAAGGTGCTCCTGGGGTGGTTAACTTGCTGATTGAATTAACCCATTGCATCTCTCTTGTTCCAGGACATGATTTTCTCCTGAGGGGGGGGGGAGCCTGCAGTGGTGGAATTCAAATATTTAACAACCAGTTCTCTGCCCTAATGACCAGCTGGGTAGGCATGGCTGGGTGATCACATGACTGGGTGGGTGTGGCCAACACGATGTTACTCACACTTCTCCTTGCCTGCCTCTTGTGACCATGGGGATGCTGCAACGATGGTAAGTATGAAAAATGGTCAGAAGTCACTTTTTTCAGTGCCATTGTAACTTTGAATGGTCACTAAATGAACTGTTGTAAGTCAAGGATTACCTGTACAGAAATACAAATATAGCAATAGCAATAGCACTTAGACTTATATACCGCTTTATAGTGCTTTACAGCCCTCTGTAAGTGGTTTACAGAGTCAGCATATTGCCCCCAACAATTATTTGGGTCCTCATTTTACCCACCTCAGAAGGATGGAAGGCTGAGTCAACCTTGAGCCTGGTGGGATTTGAACTGCCTAATTGTAGGCAGCTGGCTGCAGAAGTAGCTTGCAGTACTGCACTCTAACCACTGCGCCACAGAGGCTTCTTTGCTTGCAAAAAGCTGCCCTAAATACCAATCACTAGATTAAAAAGACCTGCAAGCCAGAGTTACAAATTAGGCAGGATGCCAGAGCACCTTGAGGAATGAAAATAGTTAAAATTCAGTGTTAACTATCAAGCAGCCATCTCTTGCTCATAAAGTGAAAACCTTTAGCAGAGACGTCATTTAAGCTCTCCAGAGAGAACACATCCAGGAGAAGCAATCCTTAGATCCATTTGCACCACTTAAAGATACCAGATGGTTTTACTCACCTCACAAGATATCTTAAGGAAACCATCCAGATTTAAGGAAAGATCACATGCCCCCCCTCCCCAGAAAGGTAGTAAAAAAATCAGTGCCAAGCTTGCATTCTGTCTCTTGGAAATACACCCCAAAAGGACAGTGCCAGGAACCACTAAAGCAGTGAAGGAAAACCCCCTCCCCAGATAGAGAAAGAAACCATGAAGCAGGAAAAAAATTCAAAAACAATACAGATAATTAAATCACAACAGTAGCTGTTGCTCGTTAAACCAATTACCAGAACAAATAGACACAGGAACTAGCCAGATTTCTCAACCCAGTTTCTTTTCAAGAACAGAGATTAACCTTTTTCCTTCCAAACAAAGCTGAATAGGGAAAATTATCCCATCAATAAACACAGGATTAAACGTCACCAAGCACAGAATTAAATTCACCAAAAACCAGTTTTAGACAAAAAGTCAGAAAGGGTATGTAAACTCATGTTTGAATGTCAATCTTTCTACCTAGCCAAGAAGCCTTGCTGAATGTCACTCATCTTGGTTCCTTGTCATTAAAAGCTTCTTTCCAGCAGCTCTGCTTCATTATTCAATTATTTCTTCAAAGTGCTGATCGTTGCATCCCAGCTGGAAGAACTCCAACAGGGGAGTATTTCCTCCCAAAAGCAGTGTAAAAAGCTTAAAACAACCCTTCCCCTTTAAGAAAGTCAAGCCCCAGCAAAGTACCAGCAAAGAGAAAAAAAAAAAACCTCAGGAGAAGGTCAGGCGACAGGAAGTCTAGGTGTTACTGTCAATAATGTAATAAGGGTTAACAGAGAGGCAGTTTCTGTAAGCAGGACAATAAAGATTAGGCTAGAAACAACACCAGAATGTTTCCTGTCTTCCTTAAAGGATTAGCCCTGTAAAGTGGAAAAAAACAAAAGGAGATTACTTCCAACAACCGGTTCTCCAAACTGCTTAGAAAGTTAACAACAGGTTCTAGTGAATAGTTGAGAACCGGTAGCATCCCACCCCTGGAAGCCTGTCAGCCTTGGAAGCTTTTTTTTTCCATTGGAGCTTCGAGGCTGCCACATTTCGTGCCTGGGAAATTGGGAGGGGGGATTGCAAGGAGCAATGTCTTATTTGTTCATCACCTCCCATGCCTGTAAGTGAGTTGCTGTTTTCCTACTTAGTTTGCCTGAGCATGTGTCCTCTTTTCAGACAAAATCATCACTTTCCCACTCAGCTATTCTGATTGTATGAAGAATGGACCTGATTGCAATATTATTCTTCCATCAGCTATATAAAAGATTAAAAAAAGTCTTTTCAGGAATCCTACAGAGTTGAATGAGATTACATTTCAGCAGGGTGTTAGTCGGTTGAGCTCAGTAGCACATCTGATCCCAACAGCTGCAAGGGGGCTTTAAGGCTTGATTAGAGAAAAGTGGGCTATTATACTTTATTTAGCAATTTGTAGAATGTAATACTTGGAATTTTTTTTCTTTCCTTCGGGTGGTTGGAGAAGTCCTTTCCTTCTGCCTACAAGCCAAAGTAGATGTGACTTATGATCTGTTAATTCTTTCTGTATTTCTAAAAACTGCAGCTGTGGAGAAGTAAAAAACATTAAGGTTCCAAAAAATTCCAGATCAGGGAAAAAACACTATTTATAACAGAATAACAGAGTTAGAATGGACCTTGGAGGTCTTCTAATCCAAACTCTGCTGAATCAGGAAACCCTATACCATTTCAGACAAAATGGCTGCCCAATATCCTCTTTAAAATCTCCAGTGTTGGAGCATTCACAACTTCAGGAGGCAAGTCGTTCCACTGGTTTATTGTTCTTACTGTCAGGAAACTTCTCCTTAGTTCTAGGTTGGTTTTCTCCTTGATTAGTTTCCATCCATTACTTCTTTATTGGCCATGAATTTTCATGAAGTGATCTCTGGGTATAATCACTGGATATAAATTATGCAAATGAATATAAAAAGAAGAAGCCTTGGTCTGTTTGTCAGTTAAATAGGAATAGTGACATATTTTGCAAAACATCTGAAGGGAAACTAATTTTCTATTTAAGCCTGTGGTTTCTATATGATACTTCTAATAAAAGGTCTAATAGAGAAGAATAGGGTTGAAATGAGGAGCCCTTGGTGTTCTCTGAGCTTGGTTGTTTTCTTGTAGACATTTCATTAGCCAACTAGGTAACATCATCAGACTAGCACTTAAGTGAGTACCTTGTTTGGGTACTGAAACATCTGCAAGAAAACAGCCAAGCTCAGAGACCACCAAGGACCCATCATTTGTGGGTCTATAACAGGGATGTCAAACTCACGTTATCATGGTGGCATCAAGGTCTCTCTCCCTCTCTCTCCCTCCCCCCCCTCTCTCTCACACACACACAGACAGACATTGTCTGCATAGTGGCAGTGACATCATAAAGATTCTGCAAAGGAATAGAATTTCTTAGAATTCTCCAAGAAAACAAAAAGGAAGTGGAAAAAATGGCTGGCAGGCCAGCATTCATAAGTAGCTCTCACTTTATTGACAACTGGCATGAAGAATTTGGAGCCCACTGTACTGATTATGTCCAACTGGCCTTTATCACTTCTTGTCTCTTTATTTTTGTGGGAGGTATATTTATCATCTTAATGGTCAGAGTAATCCGATACATATTGCATAGGTGCTTCTTTAGATATACCATTCAATTTCAGGTAAGCGTGCTCTGTAAATCATAGAAAGAGAATGTGGATGGGAACTATTAGGATTATATATCTGAATATTGCAGTTTACTCATGAAGTTAAAATCATATAGAGAGTTACATGTAAAGGAAGTGGAATATCTTGGGCTCTTCTGAGAATTCTGATGGCGAATCAGTGCTTTGATTACATATTATTAGTGTATATATTTGATATTCATTGCTTATTTATAGTATTCCCTAGTTACTTATGGACGCCCACTCTCCATCCCTTGAAGAAAACAAACTTTACCACCATTTGAATTTCACCACATTTAGGAAGAGAAGTAGGATATAAACTATAAAATGATGGATCAGAGTATTTCCTGGTAACATTTAATTTTGTTTTGGGCAAATAGGTTTCTGATTTTGTTTTCTGATTTTGTTTTTGTTTTCTATTATAACACCCTGATAAGATAGACATTTCAGTTGAGAGTATTTTTAAGGGGTTTCCCATTCCTTCCTTTCCAGATGTCATACTTCATGGTTCATAATTCACTGGAAGTTTTTATGAAGAGATTGGATAATCATTTGTCTGAAATGGTATATAATGTCTCCTGCCTCAGCAGGGGTTTGGACTAGAAGACCTCCAAGGTCCCTTCCAACTCTGGTATTTTGTTGTAATCCTAAAATAATCAGTGGAAAGGAATAGTATTGAGATTGAATTGTGGTTGCACAGTAACTAAATAACTAAATAAATCTGTTTGACAGCAATTCCAGAATAAATGTTTGGCCCTGCACCATATAAGAGGCACACAGAAGGCAATTAATTAATGCCCTTATTTTAATGTAGACAAGCAGTGTAAAATCTTAACATTTATTTTTATCTTGATAGTTGTTTACCAATAAGATGAAATTGCTGAATTTCTGGAAAGGAAAATTTCAGGACAAGGTGGTAATGATGATTTCAGCTCAGACGTCTATAGGCCGTGTTCTGGTGAGTTATTTTAAAGATGGCTAAAATATTGTAGATGAATATTCATTAGTTATACTGCAGAATGATTTCATGATTATTTCAGTATTTGGTGATTAGGCACAAGAATCAATGCTTAGGTTACTAAAATAGAATTTTCCACGCACAGGAGACAGGCATCAGCAAGTCTAAAGTTGTCCCAAGATTTATAAAAATGCAGGAAGAAAAGTGGTACCAAACCCCGCAAGAGAAGATTTCATGTAACCCACTTAAAGTGAAATGGTATAATGGAAAAAATAAATGACTGATAAGATTACTGCTTTGGTGTTGCTAAAACAGGTTTAATAGGTCTATTGCTTCAAGTACCTTACATGCTAAAAATAAGCACGAAAATGCTAAATGTCAGGTTTCTGAACTCATGAAGCATTCCTGACTCTAAAGGCAAGACTCTAATGGGGAAGTCTACATTAGTTTTAATCATTATATATTGTAGATTTAATCATGAATATTTTTATCATAAAGTGAAATCCAGGTGAAACAATGAACACATACATAATGAAAGGGAGGATGAGTATGTGTTACTACAATTACATGTGAAATATCATGCCAAATCTCATTTGAATTGAATTCAACTCTGCATAAATTCATTGATATTGTGATGACCCAGGGCATGGCACAAAGACAACACAGTCAGATAAGCAATAAGAGTCCCTTTATTGTCTCAAATTTTGCCCCCAATGTCCAAACAAACCAAACTGCAGTAATTAGTTTGGCAGGGCAGAAACAAGAATCTCAGGCTTGAAGGCATGGCAAAACTCACATGGTTGGGAAGATGCCAGGAACACAGATAAGCCACGACAACACAGGATAAAGTTGCTTTTTTCCTAGCAGCCTGCCGCACGCAGCCTGCCTTTCTTATCAACTGTCTTCCCAGCTAAGGAAGGGAATCAGGGCCCTCTCCTCTCTCATAAGCCACACAACCCATGTTGCTCTCTTCTCCATTCCTCCCTGTGTGAAGATGAAGAGGGGGTGGGCCTGGTTCTTCCTCTGGACTCCCTCTCCCCTTGTTCTGCTTTGCCCAGCCAGACTTTGCCCTTCCCCAGCCTCCTCCACAGCCAACGGAACCACACTCCCACTCCCTGTTAGCTGTCTGGCTTCCTCCTCGGATTCAGACTCCGACAGGGGCATGACAGATATGGATTTTATGGGGTTGTTGCATTTTTTTAAAAATAGAACAGAGATCTGCCTTTGCTTTCATCCAGGATATTCCAATTTCCTAGTTTAGCAATACCTTAATTTCCATCCAAATTTTAACCATATTTGACTTTGCTTGGCTTTTAAATCAGCTTAACAGTAGGGGTGTATAAAATAAAGAGCTAAACCCTTCACAGAACAGTTAAATTTTAAAGAAAGACTTAAATATTGATTAAGCAGGTGAATGACTATCGGTAGGTGAAAAAAAAAAAGATTGTCAGGACCATCAATTCAGGAATTAAATTGCTGCCACCTTCTGAAAAAAAGCACATGCAATATCTGAAAGATAGCCAGTTTAAATGATTGATTCACTGCAATTAATATTGAAGAACATTAATTATATAAGCACCTTCAAACACATTTATTTCAGTTCCTGTATGTTTTCCTCTGGCCATTCCAAATGTAGCTTTCCTTCCTTAAAATCAGCGTTTTGATTCCTGGACAGTTCTTGGAATAAGACTGTGGTTTTCTTAGCAAGATTTCCATAGAAAAGAATATTGTAGCTCAGGTTTGAAATGAGAAATTCTCGGTGCTCTCTGAGCTTGATTGTTTTCTTGCAGATACTGGTGATATTATATTACCTAGTTTGGGTAATGAAATGTCTGCAAGAAAACAACCAGAGAGTACCAAAGACAAGATTTTTCAGAGGTGGCTTGCCATGGCCTCCTTCCTAGGACTGTGAGAGAGAGCCTAATGCTTGCATTATTTAATTGAAAAGTTTAAGAGTGGCCAAATTGTTATAACTAATTGAAGATAATCATGGTTTATACTGTATGTATATTACATTGAAGTGGTAATGGAGGATATCAAATAGATTTTTTTAATTCTTATGCTACCCAGTAATTCTTGAGTGTGAGATTCACTATGACAGTCAATAGCAATAGCACCTATACCTCTTCACAGTGCTTTACAGCCCTCTCTAAGCAGTTTAAAAAGTCAGCATATTACCCCAGCAATCTGGGTCCTCATTTTACTGACCTTGAAAGGATGGAAGACTGAGTGAACCTTGGGCCAGTGAGAATCAAACTGCCAAACTGCTGGCAGCTGGCAATCAGCAGAAGTAGTCTGCAAGCACTGCATTCTAACCACTGCACCACCATAGCTCTTTTAAATGTCAAATATAGCAATAGCAATAGCACTTAGACTTATATTACAGCACTCTCTAAGCAGTTTACAGAATCAGCATATTGCCCCCAACAATTTGGGTCCTCATTTTATCCACCTCAGAAGGATGGAAGGCTAAGTCAACCTTGAGCCTGGTGGGATTTGAACTGCCAAATTGTAGGCAGCTAGCTGCAGAAGTAGCTTGCAGTACTGCACTCTAACCACTGCGCCACAGAGGCTCCTTGAGCTTAGAAAAACTAAAAACCCTAGAAACCTCTGATTTCGAATTAGATTGGCAAATAAAGAGTGAATTAATTATGTGTAGGTTTCTGTTTTAGGTAATACTGGTGTTCCTATTTAGTATTGGATCACTCATCCTTTACTTCATCAACTGTTACAGGTAATTAGAACCTCGTAATTTATCCTATGTGCATGTATTTCTTTTAAAAAAAACATATTTCACATGTCTCTGTTAGTTTTTATCAAAATATAGTTGTTTTTTAATCTCTCTTCCCTCCTTCTTTCCTTTGGTTAAAAAAGCCATTTAATCAATGAAAAGACATACATTAAACTTACCATATATTAAATTAAATTCAGTTCAATCCCTAGCTATTTCATGTGCATATTTTCTTGTAAGAATATAAAATAGATTTGCTGTTGCCTCCTCCTAGGATATTGTATGCTATGTTTGTGTGTGTTTAATTTCAAATCTAGCCCACTGCAGTAGATTTTTATGATTTCCCATAAAAGTATGAATCATATCTTATCCTGCTTAACTTGACCAGATACTGCCATCTGCTGTAGACAACAATACATTTTCTGCAGAATTTTCAGAAGTGGTTTGCCCTTGCCCCTGCACACTCAAAGCAGCAAGGTTTCTGCAGAGGCTCTGCAGCACTTCCTAGTATGACTCTTTGACACAGTGGTGTATAGACATGCAGTCATTCCAGAAAGCATTGCAAAAGGAACAGAGCATCCAAGAAGAGCCCCATGATGTTACAAACATCTGGAATGTTTTGTTCTAAAACAAAGGAAAGCTCAGTTATCTACTAAAATTTTAAAGCTGAGAGATGTTAGGAAGATTTTATTCCTGCTTGTATTTATCCCATTATGGTTCATTTGGGAAGAAAGAACTCAGATTCATCATCAGAAGCATCTGTGATGTTATTCTTTCATATCCCTAAGAAGAGTTCTATGATGTGTTCTAAGTCTCTCTGTCTGCCTCTAATGTATTAGTCTCTATTATCACTACCTAAACAGGTAATCCTCGGCTTATGACCACAATAGAGGCCAACATTTTTGTTAAGTGAATTTTGCCTCACTTTATGACCTTTCTTGCCTGTGTTAAGTGAATCACTGCAGTTGGTAAATTAGCAACCTGGTTGTTAAGTAAATCTGGCTTCCCCATTGACTTTGCTTGCCCAGAAGGTTGCAAAAGGAGATCACATGACCTTGGGACACAGCAATGGTCATAAATATGAACTAGTTGTCAAGGTATCTAAATTTTGATCACATAATCATGGGAATGCTGCAAATAACTGTCACAACTATGAAAAACAATCATAAGTCACTTTTTCAGTGCCATTGAGTAACTATTACTGGTCACTAAAACTGTTGTAAGTCGAGGACTACCTGTAATTAATTCTCTTTTTAGACTAGTACTTTTGCATTAAATTACAATATACATATTCTGCTAAAGCTAGTTCATTTAACTGGTCAGTACCCTAAATTCAGGATGTGCATACACATAAGCTTCTGGAGTACACCATGCTGTGAAAACAACTACCATATCTTTTTGATCCGTACAGCTGGAACATCTTTCACTTTTGAAAGATATAAGCTACATTTTTCAAACAAGAGGTTTCTTTTTCTCCTACTTGGTTGGAAAAAACATCATCATCATTTTGCAAATGCAAATCAAACCAGCTTTGGCAATTTCATTCTGTCATTCCTCACTTATCAACAACACATAATGTGGAAACTGTCAAAAATGTTGAATGAAATTTGAAATTCTACTTGTTGATATTCTGCAGCGTACAGTATGAATATGATTTGGCTTGAATTCTGCCAGCTTTTGAATCATTCAATTAAATCATGTTAATATCAAATGCTTTACATTGGAGTGCTCTTTTGTATAAGAGCCAACATGTTTGGTGTGTGTGTGTGTGTGTGTGTGTGTGTGTGTGTGTGTGTGTGTGAAGCACAATCTGTATTTTCAATGGAATTCATAGGGAGGCAAGGAGGGGCAAATAATGAATTTTGTGACATTATCATACAAATAACACTTTTATGAATTTCCTTCAAACATTATCCATTACTTCTTCTCCTGCCTGTCCTTTGGAGAATAGATTGTCCCTCTCTTCTTTAAATCAGCCCCTCAAATTGGAAGATTGTTATCATGTCACCATTAGTCGTTCCCTTTTCTAGACTAGATATACCCAGTTCCTGCAATTTTCATTGTATGTTTCAGTCTCTAGCTCTCTAATAATCTTTGTTGCTCTTCCTCACTTTTTTTAAGCTTTCAAGCCTCAGATGTGGGTATATATGTAACTCCTTCTTTCTGTAGTCTCTGACTCCTTCCTTTGCTATGACAAAGGCTTTCCAGATTAAGAAGCAGCTGTTTTCTCTGCCTGGGCAATGATTTGCGTCCTGGCCAGGCACTATGGAAAGGTGGCTATGTTTGTTGCTGATGGAGTCCACACATCTGGATTTAGAGTCAATCACACACAAATTCATCTCCCAGTAATGAATTTCATGAAGATGTATAGATTTCTTATGAATGAAATCAGACACTTGACTAAATTCTAATTTCCAATTCCATTCCTGCTCTGATTTTTCTTAATGATTATTAAAACTTTTTAAAGGAATGCTGTTCTGATGAAAATATGCAACCTGGTTATTTTAAAGAATTACTATGGGTTGATTTAAAAAAAATTAAGTCCTGTCTTAATATAAACAATAATTACTCATAAATCATAAACAATAATTTCCCCCTTACTACAGTGTTAAAGAGTTTTGTCTCACCTTTGAAGACCGGACAATTTTGATCGATCTATTCTTTAATTTATTTTTTCTTCTGCATTTTGGATTGCGGGTAAGAAATATTTGCAGTTAAACATATTTTAAAAGAGAATAAGAGGGGGAGACCTAGGAATGGCTCAGAAATTTGTTTAAATTTGCATTGCAATGTGGATTGTAATACAAACATGCCTACTTCTAATTTCCTTAAACCAACTGCGTAGCAATGCAATTATTCTGTAATTTTCACATTCTTCCAAATTTTGTTAGTTTTGAGTACTTTTTAAAATAATTTGTAGAAAAGTGAATACCATAATATATCTATATGTGAAAATGAGCACACTTTTTGACAAAGTTATTTTATATATTTATTAAATTTATTTGCTATCCATTTCACCATAAGGAGACTTATAATGAATACAAAATTGTATTGGTTTAGAAAAGTATGCAGAAAAATGCTTTAGAAGAACTCTTGCAAGCCAGTTAAGATATGGAATAGGGGTAAAATGTTGGAAAAATGGGAATATTGACACATTATTACACTGATAGAACTATCAGTTTCCTACTTTAAATTTAAGATAGGTCTGGGAAAAATAATTATATCACTCAGGTTGTGGGCTGTCATTTGACATTACCTCTTCTTTTTTAAAAAATTTTTACAAAAAAACAACAAATAAAAACCATCTTTCAAATTTTACAGTGTGTCGGTTGGGTTCATATATCTTGTGCATAAACTAATAATTATTGTACATTTCTTATTTATTTATGTTCTTATTTATATCAACCTTCTATGTTATATTGTTACATCATTGTATCATCCTTAAAATTTTTGTTTCAATCCTAGTTTATCTTTCAAGAACAGCTCCCAATATTGACTAAATTATATTCATAGTATTATTTATTCAAAAATAATCAATTGTATTGTATTATTGCTACTACAACATATTTTACATTCTTACTCTTCTATCTAACCATTCATAAAATAAATTCCAAATCTCATAAAACTCCTTTTCCTCCTGTTCTCTAATTGCCATTGTTAATCTATTCATTTCTGCACATTCCATTATTTTCTTGATAGTTTCCTCTTCTGTTGGAATTTTCTCATTTTTCCAATTTTGTGAACCTTACCTCTACTGTTTTGAAGTCTGATCACATCATGAGGCAAAAAGACCAAATAGGGAGAGAATAGTTTCATTATCTCTGACAATGTGCAGTGCTGTGGTTTTCTTTGTTTTTATGTTTACTTTTTAGTTTTTGGCAGCAAGTGACAAGCTAGCATTCTGGTTGGAGCTTAATTCCATTGTGGATTTCTTCACAATAACCCCAGTCTGTACAGCCTTCTATCTAGGAAAAAATTGGCTTGGTAAGTACACATCTCAGTTGTATGTTTCGAAGGAATTTTCAGTCATCCAGGTCATAGTTGTCCCAAAGGTGCTTTTTCAAAAGGCCACTGGACTTTCTTTATTTTTCTTTGAAGACATTTTGCTTCTCATTCAAGAAGCTTTGTCAAAACTGAAGAATCTTCTCTGATGAAAAGCAAAATGTCTTCAAGGAAAAAAAATTAAAAAAAATCCAGTTGCCTCTTAAAAATGACCTTTGGGACATTTCAATTGTATCAATTTATGAGTTATGGTAAACCAAAGACAGACAAATCAAAAACTTGGAATGTATGGTAGTGGTCAAGTCTCTGTTTGTGCCCCTTGGACTTTCTTTGACAATGATGTCTGAAAACACACAAAATCTGGATCCACTTTAAGATGGAAAATATTTGTAAAATGTCTATACATATGAGTCTTGAATCTATGTTTCCCAGGTTCTCATCCCATGCTTTAATCATCCCACTTAACTTTAGAAGCTTATCTAATTTGGCATTGTGTGTTTTTGAACCAAAGCATATATTAAAAATGTGTAATACCTCACCTAGGTAGCAACTGAACATATTAATCATTGTAGGAAGAAAAATCCATCTGGTTCAGTGCCAAACTAGGAATAAAATGGAGGCTCTTTAAGAAAGAAAATTTATTGATGAACAGAACCATAGTGTGCAGTACTGGGGCTGCTGACAAATTAGCTTGATGAGTGCAAGGATTTTTATACAGTTTCTGAAATGTTGCAGGGATTGTGCAATGTAGTGAGCCTGGTATCTTTTGCTATTCTAATGGTGGTGGGTTAATCCTATTATGTCCTAAAAGTTCACATCTTGTCCTTAGAATCTGCATGGTGGAAGGGTGTAAATTTTAATTCCATTGATGGAAATGAAGGTGTTTGTAAATAGGCTGGCCCAGGGTTTCTTGATGGGCACAAAATAGCTCTAAAGACTTCAGGCATTTGCTGTAGGCTATTAAGAAAGACTGCTTTCTGCCTCTAAGAACATGTTTCTCCATTTCTCCTTTGGGAAATATAATATTCTACCTCTTTTAATATTCCCAAAAATATTTCGTTCTGTAGGAGAGGGCTTCCCACACTATCAATGTTCCTCCAGTGGTTGTGTAGGAAAGGTTTTAATCAATGCCATTAAGAAAACAATTCTTGCATTTCTTCCTATTGCTTCTTATGTAATTCAATGAAAACATAATTTCCTTTTGAAATTCCTTTCAAAAGGATATCTTGATCATATCTTCATAGCTGGAATGTGGCATTGTTGCTTTTGTTTTATGCAATCAGATAAAAAAATTAATTAAATTTCCAGGGAAATTGAATCTTGTTCCATTGAGCTTTTTCAGGCTGGATGACAAGGAGAATCAGAATAAAGGAACAATATAATACATATATTACCAGAAGCAGAATTATTTCCTGATTCTATGTGTAAAACATACATAAAAACTCTTAAATCAGGGAAATTTGAAAGAAATTCTAGAACATTCTGAGAATAAGAGAGAAAATTCATAGTTCCCCCCCAAAAACTTGAGAAATTGGATGCTTGTTAAGGACAAGTGAATTTCCAGTGAATAAAGGATTCCCTCTAGCAAGTTTTTGTTGAATTCAGTAACTGCAGATTTTCTGTAATGTGCCATATTTGATGTGGCATTAAATGTGACCAAATATATATTTATTGCAACCATCACATATCAAATATGTTTGGCTTTTAATTATCTGCAAAATGATAATAATACCACCTACTATTTAGAAATTAAAATAGGTATGCATTATTTCAGTCTAAATGTTGCTGCCATACTTCAATCATACTTCAATCACCAGAAACAAAAAAGACAATTTCATCTCTTTCCTCATTTCCTCCTCTTTATAGGTTTACGCTTCTTAAAAGCATTGAGATTGATGGAACTTCCCAAAATTTTGCAGTTTCTCCAAATCACCACTAGTGGGTAAGACAATTTTTTTGTGTCATTATTAAGTCCCTCTTTTTTTGCTTCCAACTGGCATTTGTGCAGCGGTCAGCTAAAGCAAAATCAAAGTGGTCTCTAGCTCAAAATATGTTGATATCCTTTAACCCAATTTGAAGAGAGGGCTTCCACTCCTGGTCAGGTTAGCTAAGTAAAATTGACTTTAGGTCTTCCTATGCAGGTATCTCTTGAAGATTCAAAATCTCTCTTGCAATCATGTACAAATAAGCAGTGAATATTCAATTAAACTGTTTTATTGCTATAGCCTATGCACAAGAATCTTCTCAATCAACAGTATTAGCTTAGAGTTAGATAAGGGTTAACAGCACATAAGGAAGGTTGGATTTTGTTTGTAGTTACATAGCAATTCTAGACTAATCCCCCTTTTCACTCCACCCTCAAGTTATGCCACTCTTTCTTTCACACTTGCACTTTCCACTAATTTTTTTTTATTCCTGGGTTGCCGACTTCATCTACATTCTGAACTTTATTTTGCACTCTCCTTCATGTAATTCCCATTTAGACTACTCCTATTGGTTCACTTCCAACATCCCCAAAAATGCCTTATCCAGAATCATATCAAACTGACCTTGCAAGTTAGTTTTACTGCTTGCTCATGGCTCTCCATTGTACTAGTAACTTGCTCATGGTTAGGCTTTGGCATACCTTTTTGCTTTCCACTATTTGTTGGTCAAAACATACTTTGGTTTGGGCAAAAAAGGCTAATGTGTCTCGTAACTCTATTTGCAGTTTCTTGTACTAATGCAATGTTATCTGCCTTCATATTACCAAAAAATAGATCCAATGTTTTATTTTTTATGCATGGATTTTTTTTCTGGATTTAGATATGGGAGTTGAAACAGATATGGAAAATCTGTAAAAGTTGGATGATTTAAGATATTTCACCCTTGAGTTTCTGATGGTTTCAATTAGATTTCAGGTTCCTCTTGTGGGATTTTCTCTTGATGCCATCAGCAACGCTTTCAGGAAAGTACAAACAGAATAACATAATTGGAAGGGACCTTGGAGGTCCCTTGCTTAGGCAGGAAACCTTATACTATTTCAGACAAATGGTTGTCCAATCTCTTCTTTAAAACCTCCTGTGTTGGAGCACCCTCAACTTATGGATGCAAGTCATTCCACTGATTAATTGTTTAACTGTTGGGAAATTTCACCTTAGTTGCAGATTGGTTCTCTCTTTGATTAGTTTCCATCAATGACAGAAACAACCTAGAACTAAGGAGAAATTTCCTGACAGTTACACCAATTAATCAGTGGAATGACTTGCCTCTAGACATTGAAGGTGTTTCAACACTCCAACAATTCTATATGGCACATACAACTACTACTGAAATTGTTTTGTAGCAGTGTTTTATTAAAAAAGAACTGGTTAAAAGAATTGAGCTACAAAGAACCTAGGACAAACTGCCTGCTCTGCCTGAACTGAAGCAATTCAAACTGTACCACAATGGGCTGATAAAAGACCTCTAATGCTTCAATTCCTTTTGGTAGCAGAAAAGGGAGTGAAAAGGTATTTGTGATATTATTATTTGTTTTCTCCCTCCATGGGCCAGAAACAGGATGAGAAATGCAATTAATGAATCAATCAATGTCCACTTGAGTTAAGAACATTATTTAATAGTGCCTCACTTGGAAGACCCTCAAAGGATTAAATGGAGGTGAATGTTGCACCTATTCCTTTGAAACTCATCCATATCAACCCTCTCCTTGCATGTTCAGTACTGCAATCAAGCTGTCCAAACTGCTAGCTGTATTTGTCAGTACCTGGCTCACGGCTGCAGGATTTCTTCACTGGGTATGTATCAAGATTCCTGATGAAAATACCAGTGAAAGCAAATGTCTGGTTATTTAACAGTAAAGGTAGATTTCATACTGAATGTCCTGACTGAATGTAGTTTGATTCAAATAAAACTGTAGGGTTTAACTTTGAAACTGCTTGCATTCTATACTAACATGTGATGTTCCTTAAAATATCTTTTAACTTAAGTTGACATTAACTTACATTGGATTCAAGATTTTTTGTTCTATAGATGCTGGCAGAAGAAGTGATCAGTGAAAGTTTAATAGCAATAGCACCTAGACTTATATACTACTTCATAGTGCTCTCTAAGCAGTTTACAGAATCAGCATGTTTTGTTTGCAAAACAAATTTTATGTGACAGACTGAGCTAGCCAATGGCAGATAGATAGATTGCTGAATGAATCTGTGATTCTGTGAGCAACTCAATCTGCCTGCCTGCTTTGCCTGATTTTGGGTAAAAGTTGCTCTTTTTTATAAAAAAAATCAATATTTATATAAATATTTATAATATTTACATACAAGCCATGCTCAGCCAGTCACATGACCACCAAGCCACATCCACAAATTAGGCCATGCCCACAGAACCAGTTAGTGGTCCCTGGGATCTAAAATTATGAGTTTGGTCCCTGAGGTCCAAATGGTTGGCGACCCCTGTTTTAAACGGTTTAATTTCACTCTCAAATATTTTCCTTGGAGAAAGAACTTCTTAGCAGGTGCACTCTCCAGAAAACCCCAGTACAACAGCAAAAAGATTGAGGTTATAAAACCAATGATCCAACTGACCCAACTAGCAGCCAAAGTAATCACCCAGACACAATTGGGAAAAAAATCATCACTGACTGAAAACACAACATCAATATTTTTAGGAGGCACTACTTAAGGATGACTGGCTCCAGGCTAACAAAAACGCTTGTTTACTCAAAGATTGACTGGCTTGGGTAGAAAATAAACTTTATGTCCCTGCAAGCCAGAGAATGGATCTCATGAAATGCTACCATGACTCCAAAATAGCAGGACACTTTGGGTTTGTAAAAACACTGCACCTTATCAAAAGACAATTTTGATAGCCATCTCTCAAAAAGGACATTGAAAACTATGTTGCAAGCTGCCCCACCTGTGCTGCTGGCAAAGAGAAGACAAGGAAAATCTCCTGGACTTTTACAGTCAGTAAAGGAGTGGACAAATAACTTACAAGCCATGTGGCCAGTGGTAAGATTATCTTTACAGGAAGCTAGAGCAGTTTTTAAAGCTCAAGCAGACAAAAAAATCCTGCGATCCTAAACCTTTCAAGATTGGGGACCGTGTATATTTGTCCACAAAATTCTTAAGATCATTACAACCATCTAAGAAACTAGGGCCAAAATTCATTGGCCCATTCCCCATCTCCAGAATTATTAACCCCGTGATGGTAGAGCTTCGACTTCCCAAAACACTTAGGCAGATTCATCCAATATTTCACTGTGGCTTGCTCAAACCGGAGATCACTTCAAACCTCCATCATGGTACATGGCGAACAACATTTTGAAATCAAAGATATCTTTGATTTGCGCACTCACCATGGATCCACACAATATTTAGTAGCTTGGAAACATCTTCCTTCCTCAGAAAATGAGTGGATAACCAAATGACACGTAAAAGCACCCACATTACTCTGAAAGTTCCACCTAAAATACCCTGATAAACCATCCTAAATTGCAAATGTAACACATGATTTTTGTTTTTTCCAGGTAGACCTATCTGTTTTTTAAGGAGGGCAGGATGTCAGATCCATGTATCTGTCATTTCTTCAATGGAAGGAGAAAAGTGGGTGGGAGACTGATAAAGAAATCCTTCTTGATGTAACCTGAATATATTTAATCTTATACTGAATTTGTATAACCTATACATGATACCATGGAGGGATGAAACCCAGATGGCCGGAACCTATCACCTCTGGGAGAGACAGCCAGGAGATGAAGAGACCATAAAAATTCCACAGTGGGGGAATTAGGTATGCCCTGGGAAACTCTGAAAAAGATCATTCTAAAAAGGGGGTGGGAGGGAATTAACATGTTGGCTCTTTGTTGGCTCTCTTTCTCCCTTGCCTTTCTCTTGCCTTCTTTCCTCATCAAGATAAGGGGAGGAGTTTTAAACTCCCTTATCTATCTCTGCATGCCTGAGAGACCTTAGATGCTGCTTTTAACGAATGAATTATCTCATCTAGATAAAGGATTCCTTTTGATACGTTTTGACACGTTTTCAGAAGTTCATTCTACTTGATTGAGTGGGAAAAGTTCTGTAGCCTGACAGTTCCCATCTGTGGTGATCTTGGAGCCCAGGAAAATAAAATCTGTCACTACCTCCATTTCTTCCCCATCTTTTTGCCAGGAATTGAGAGGGCTGGATGCCATGATCTTAGTTTTCCTAATGTTGAGTTTCAAGCCAACTTTTGTAATCTCCTTCTTCACCTTCATCAAGAGGCTCTTTAGTTCCTCTTCACTTTCTGCCATTAGAGTGGTATCATCTGCATATCTGAGGTTGTTGATATTTCTCCTGGCAATCTTAATTCCAACTTTTGATTCATCTAGCCCCACCTTTCTCATGATGTGCTCTATATATAAGTTAAATAGGCAGGGCAACAGTATACAGCTTTGCCAAACTCCTGTCCCAATTTTGAACCAATCAGCGGTTCCGTGTCCAGTTCTCACTGTTGTTTTTTGACCCGCATATAGGTTTTTCAAGAGACAAATAAGATAGTCTGGTACTCCCATCTCTTTTTTTTTTTTTTTTGAAACAAATTTTATTAATTTTACAGACAAACAAAGCATCATTAAACATTAAAGACATTAAACCTCTTTCCATTATAAATTTTTACCAGGCAGATAAAACATTGTTTTATACAATACAATTCTAATATATCCCATTTCCACTTAAATATTTTTTAGCAGATTTCTCATTATTTCTCTTTGCTCTTATTCAATTACATTTCTTCTATATTTATCCATTTTATACTCATCATATTCATATTTCCCTCTGCCTTGTTTACAAATATTCCTCTCGCTTTCTCCCAAGGTTTTATTAAATCTCCATCAAACATACACACACAAAACACAAAAACACAAAACTTCTTTTTTAAAAAGTAGCTTGGCCCCGGATTACCTCTCTTTGTATGGACTTCAATTAAATTCATGTTCAGCTTATATGCCATTACCTATCTTATTACCCTTCTATATCTTCATTATAACTTCTCCCCGCTTTCCCCTCTTCTTAATTCTATTTTATTTATTTCATCTTAATTTAAATCATTATATTTGTATCTTTTGTCCATTCTTTTCCAATTATCCATTTATCTCATTCATATTAGAAAAAAAAAATATTTCTCCTGAAATCACTAATCAAAGTATGATGCCTTTCCATCGCTCCCCTAGATTAACATTTAAGGTAACCCCTAATTCCCTATCTAATTCTGCTTAGTACATTCTACTTACTAAAATAGTAAATCCATAAAGTAATTAAATATATAATTAAACATTAAATCTCATAGCATTCCAATTATCTATTTCAAAAACAAATACCATAATAATTTCATACAAACATCCACACAATAGTCAATTAAACTCTATACTTAAACTAAATATTTTAAACATTCCTTTTAATATTTTATTAAATCTTAAAATCTATCATTATTAAACCTTTAATGTTTTAATCTTTACTTAAGCCTTATAAAATTCTAATTTTCTATTTCTAATACAAATACTACAATACTATCATGTACCTTGCAGAAACATTTTGCAACAAAGTTATGCATTACCCATTATCCCTAAAAAAAGATTTCTTTTCCACATCTTGTTTCATACCTTTGTGGCTTTTTTCCCCCTTCTTCCTTCCTATCTTGTCCCATCTGGTCTTTTTACCCCCCTTCGCTCCCCCCCTCTGTTGTATTTCTCTTTTCTTTTGCTTTCTAACATTGTATTGATTTTGCATCTTATTTTTCTCTTTCTTGGATGTTTTTTTAAGTCTTATGTCCTTTTTCCTTCCTCTCTTTTTCCTTCCTTTCTTGATCAGCTTTGTAGACTCATTAAAGATGGCTTCTTCTTCTTCTTCTTCTTCTGCATCCTCCATTAATTGTTGTGTTTGTTGATAAGTGGCAAGCGCCATTTCTAAAAAGCAAAAAATTTCTCACACCGTCTTTACCTTTTTTTATTTTACCATATTCTTCTCTCAGTTCATCAACAGATAAAGCCATTATAAACCTTTTCTTCTTCTTTTTTCTCTTCTTCTTCTTTTTAAAACAACCAAGATAATTCAAAGCTTGAAACAATTCCCCAAAATCCCAAAGTCATCAAACAATCCAAACAGAACACAAAGTTCTTCACACTTTTTCTTCCTGGGGTAATATCAATTGGCAAGGGAAAAAAAAAAACCCAATCTGTATTTTAAAGTCTTATTACAATTAACTTCCAATCTCAAAATCTTCCAGGCATCTCCTCCAACAAAATCTTAATAAAAATTTTCCTTTTGTCCTCTCCCTTCCCACTTATAACAGAAAGCTTTAAATTTTTACCTTCTGTAAAATAGCAGGATTTTCAATATCCATTTGTTAAATCTATGTGGAAGGAGAGTAAACTTTCTCTTTAAACACTTTCACTCGCCGCTTGTAAATCTCTTCTGGAAACAAAGTATCTTTCAAAAACTCAGGATTTTCAGGATATTACTTGTATCTTATAGTCCCAGTTCAGCCAAAAAACTTTCGCTTCAGAATTTTCTCCTTCTTCCTCCAGCACAATCTTGTCCAGCTGTCAGCTTCTTTGTGGCGGCCATTACTGACCGCCGCTCCACCGCCTTGAGAAAAGAGGGTTAAGCCGGGTGGGGAAGGGGTCTGCGAAAACCCCAACCCCCTGTCCGGATCCCTCCTATCTTCGGCTGCCTCTTCGTGGCAACCTTAGCCCCCAGATCTGTGGATCGGAGGCACCAAAGCGGCTAGCGCGGCAGGGATCGCGCAGGATCGCAAATCC